CCTCCCACACTCCTGCTGCTCCTTCTGTCTCCTGTAGGGTCTCCTTGAAGGTCTAGTATGGACAGGTTCAAGCCTCAGACTAACGAGAGGGCACAGTCCTCTCGTGGCAAAACCATGTGCAAGTCCCAGCTTGGAAGGCAGAGCCTCCCAGCACCATTACAGCCAAAGACTGTGGCTGTAAGCTTGACCTGATGGTCCGAACCTGTGGTCCCAGGTGGCTGAGTGATATGGGCTGCGGGAGGTGCAGCAAGGAAACAAAGCTGGGCCAGGTGCCTGCAATTGAGTGGATTCGAAACCCGAGAGGATGTTGTAAACATCTTGACCACGCCCTTACTTGGCCTCGTGGAATCTGGCTGTAAAATAGACTCGGCTTGCAGGCTCTGGAGCTGTCTCTCCACCCGAGAGCAGTGTCCCACCTACCCCCAGCTTTATTCTCTTGTCTGTCTTCCTTAATCCTTCACCGCCCTCTCCCCACCCCCCCAAACCCCTCAGGTTCACCCCTGGCTGTGCTGGTGCAGCACAGTCTAGGATCCCAGAATCTGCTAACTAAACAGTTACATGACCTTACACGTCTGATGCTGACGCCGGGCCCAGAGGCCACTGCTGATCAGAATCCCGTCAATCCCCTGCTCTGTCCTGGGCTGGGATCTGAGCATGGAGCTTCCAGTCCGTCTCTTGGTCCCGGTCCTGGGAAGGCCTGTGAGCATGAGGGCGGCTGGTCCAGGTGCAGGTGGAGCAGGTGCAGAGGAAGGGGAGGGCAGGTGCACAGGGCAGCAGAGGACAAGAGCCCACCGGGGCCCCGATGGACAATGGGTAAGTCTATGCATTGATTCTTCATGGCGCCAGGTCCCAGGGCCAGATCAGCCCCGGGTGCACTTTCTGAGCCTGGGTTCTAGTAAATACCCCTGGGTTCTTGCAGTAAATCCCCCTTTTTGTTAACATTAGATTCCAGGGTTTCCATTCCTCTAACAAGCAGGTCCTCTCCCTCTATCACCTCTCCTGGGACCTTTCTCTAACGCTCTCTCCAGCGCTGTCCAGCGGGAAAGAAAGCAAGCCACAGATGTAAGTTGAAAATTCCTAGTAGCAACTTTTTTAAAGTTAAAAAAAAGTGAAATTGGCCTTAGCTGTTTGGCTCAGTGGATAGAGCGTCGGCCCGTGGACTGAGGTGGCATTCAGCTCTGACGGCACGTGGTCCTGTGACTCTTGGCCAGTGGTCGGCAAACTCATTAGTCCACAGAGCCAAATATCAAATATCAGGACAATGATTGAAATTTCTTCTGAGAGCCACATTTTTTAGACTTAAACTTCTTCTAACGCCTCTTCTTCAACATAGATTCGCCCAGGCCGTGGTATTTTGTGGAAGAGCCACATGTGGCTGGTGAGCCGCAGTTTGCCGACCACGGCTCCTGGCCAATCAGAAGTCCCTGTTGGACCCCTCTGTCCCTGGCTCTGCGAATCATTGGCCCTATGACCATTCCCACCAAGAAATTCCCTGAGCTGGGAGCTGTGAGGAGTCCCCTGATTACCCAAGAGGTCCCAGGAGCAGCCACAGTCCGGTCCCTGGGCCTCCAATTGGCTTCTTCCGGCTAACCCTGGCTGGACGCTGGCCAGGAACTATGGCGGAGCTCTCTCCCAGGGGCGCTGGCCTCAGGCTCAGAGAGGGAGGGTTGTTGGAGGGACCACCGTCTCCCCCACTACCTCAGCATGCCCACTCCCCCAGGCGGGCACCGGGCTCTGGCAGGAGGCTGGCCCCGGAGGCCCCCCCTGTTTGTGCAGCTGAGCTCTCCGCCCCAGGCCACCGGCTCTTGTTTGTGTACCTTGGCCTGGAGCACGTTGTCAGGCGTCTGGACACCCACTGCGTCCCAGCCCAGAACCAGCACCGGCGGGAGGAGGGGGGCTGGGCCCAGTCACGTCTCTCCTGGGGCCTGCCCCCTCCTCTCTGGACATAGGCCTGTGATCTCCACGGCCTGCAGCTGGGCCGGCCTCCCCTCTCAGAACCTGGCCCTGAAGCTAGACGGGACAGGTTAGCCCCAGCCTAAGACCGGTGCATCCCGGGCCTGGGTGAACGTTAACACCCTCTCCACACACAGAAGCGTCGTCCGTGTCAGCGGCTCGATGGTGACAGGGCATCTGGGCTCCTGGCAGGGGACGCGGGAAAGCAAATGGCTTCCTCTCGACTACCAGACGGGGTTTGTGCCCAGAGCAGCGAGGCCCTCCGCGGCTCTTTGCATCCGCTGGTTTGTGCAGGGCCTGGGGCGCCTCCTGTCAAACCATGGAGCCCTCCCTCTCCGTCGGCCGGAAACCGATCATGGTCTCACTCATCAGAAAGGATTCAAGGAGCCGAAACCGGTTTGGCTCAATGGATAGAGCATTGGCCTGCGGACTGAAAGGTCCCGGTCAAGGGCATGTACCTTGGTTGCGGGCACATCCACAGAAGGGGCTGTGCAAGAGGCAGCTAATCGATGTTTCTCTCTCATCGATGTTTCTAACTCTCTATTCCTCTCTCTTCCTCTCTGTAAAAAATCAATAAAATAATTTTTTTTTAAAAAAGAAAGGAGCCAAGGAGCCTGGGAGGCTGGTCAGGCTTGAAGCTCTGCAAGGTCAGAGCCAACCACGCCCTCTCTAACTGAGACAATGGCAGCTGAGGCCGCTCCCCCACCAAATCCTCTCGTAAATCCTCACTGAGAAAATAACCTGCCTGGCACTGGGATTGCCTAAGGGCACTGGATGGATCCCAAACCTGAATGAAAGGGGTGGCGAGGCCAACGCAAGGTGGTAGTCTTCCCCCCAGAGGTGGGCTCCCGCCTGGCCCCCCTTTGCCAAATGTTGTAATAATATAGCCCCTCTATTGTGTGAAGTGCTCGCTGCATGGAAACCCCCAATACTCTGACTTCCGAAATTAATGAGCACCCCACTGTCTTGATGGAAAAGCTCTGCGCCCTTACATGTGAACGCCGGCTCCCAGCATAAGGCGTGACACCGTCTTGCCCACACCGATAAGGACACAAGTCTGTCCCTATAACCCCGGGTCTGTCTTCCGTCGTGGTCTCCTGCCTGATAAGAGGAGAGACAAGCCCCTGATTGCTCTGCTGTGTGAGCCTGAACCCACTGCGGCCGCCTGCCCGTCTCTGTCTTCCTCGTCTGCCCTCCGGTGTGCATCGCCGGGCAGCTTTTGCCGGAGCCGGGGACCCGCTAGGAATCGGTACATACACCCTGTGTGAGTGCACACGCATTCTGTCTGTGTCACGTGTTCCGGCTCGGCTCAGCTGTCTAGGCCGTTATTGCTGACCCCTGGTCACTTGCATTTCTCCCACTGAGTCTAGACAGATAATTAATTGGGGCCTAATTGGGACAGGGGCCCAGACTACTTGGCTTCAGTCAGGCAAAAGGGGGAGGAGGATCACAGGGGCGCACCTTGCGAACGGTGTTGGCGGGAGTCATCTGTGCGGCCAGAATATCCTCGGCTCAGTGGTCTGCAAACTGCGGCTCGTGAGCCACATGCGGCTCTTTGGCCCCTTGAGTGTGGCTCTTCCACAAAATACCACGGCCTGGGCGAGTCTATGTTGAAGAAGTGTCGTTAGAAGAAGTTTTAAAAATGTGGCTCTCCAAAGAAATTTCAATCGTTGTCCTGTTGAGATTTGGCTCTGCGGACTGATGAGTTTGCCAACCACTAGACTCTAGGGTCCCACTGCAGCCTCTACTTTTTCTTCATCGAAGAAGCTGTGGTCCTACAGGACAGGAGCTGTCCCCAGGAGGCCAGAGGCCGGGGGTGCCAATTTCAGTAAACGTGAGACAGGATGCCCAGTCAAATTTGAATTTCAGATCATCAAACACTTTTCTTTAAATATATTTTTATTGATTCAGAAAGGAAGGGAGAGGGAGAGAGAGAGAGAGAGAGAGAGAGAGGGAGAGAGAGAGAGAGAGAGAGAGAGAGAGAGAGAGGGAGAGAGAGAGAGAGAAACATCAATGATAAGAGAGAATCATGGATCGGCTGCCTCCCGCACGCCCCACACTGGGCATGGAGTCCACAACCCGGTTGTGTGCCCTGACCGGGAATCGAACCGTGAGCTTCTGGTTCACAGGCTGGCGTTCAACCACTGAGCCAGACCAGCGGGGCAACAAATATATTTTTTAGTATAAATATGTCCTACATGATTTTAAGGACATACTTACAGATAGAGATAGAGATAGAGATAGAGATAGAGATAGAGATAGAGATAGAGATAGAGATAGAGATAGAGAGATAGAGATAGAGATAGAGATAGAGATAGAGAGAGAGAGAGAGAGAGAGAGAGATAGAGATAGAGATAGAGATGATAGAGGTAGAGATATAAAGAGAAAGAGATATTTGTTGATCTGATATTCAAGTCAACTGGGCGTCCTGCACGCTGGCACCCCTCCCCAAAGACAGACCGGACCCTGTTCACTAAAAAACGACAGACGCCCCTCAAGAGGCCGCCACCCTCCTCAGAACCCCGTCTTCCCACTGAAAGGAAGACGAAAAGGTCCCGCCCTGTGACCTCCGGCCCCCAGAGGCCCAGATGGGCCCTTGAAGTCCATCCCCTCCCCATCCCCACCTCGGTCCACCCGCTCCTGCCCTTTACACCCACCTGGAGGAATTCCACTGACACCAGGACGCTCGGAGGTTCATTAATCCCCTGATACTTAGTCACACTTTAACTCCTTCCCTCCGGCCGAGGGTTAAACACTGCCCTCGTAGGGGTCCGGCCACAGCTGCCCCAAAGCTGAGCCCCACCAAGTGGGAAGAAGCCGCGAGGGGAAGGGAGGGGCAGCCAGGAGCGAGAGAAGGAAGGAGGGGCGCCCCACCGGCTGCGTCCCCCCCCACAGGGCCGGCTCAGATTCAGCTCCCGGAGCAGCCCGGCCGCAGGAGCCGCGCAGCCCCGATCCTCCGGTGAAGGCCAGAGGGTGGACAGACACACGGACGGGGATCCGGGGCCTGGACGTCCTCAGCCGCCAGCCGCCCGGCCGGGCCCGGCCCCATGGCCTTCAATGACCTCCTGGAGCAGCTGGGGGGCATCGGCCGCTTCCAGAAGGCCCAGGTCACCCTGGTGATCCTGCCCCTGCTCCTCATGGCCGCCCACAACACCCTGCAGAACTTCACGGCCGCCATCCCCGCCCACCGCTGCCGCCCGCCCGCCGGCGCCAACCGCAGCGGGCACGGGGAGCCGGAGGCCTGGCTGCCCCGGGACCCGCAGGGGCGGCCCGAGTCCTGCCTCCGCTTCACCTCCCCGCACAGGGGGCTGCCCTGGCCCAACGGCTCGGAGGCCAACGGCACGGAGGCCACAGAGCCCTGCCCCGACGGCTGGATCTATGACAACAGCACCTTCTCCTCCACCATCGTGACCGAGGTGAGCTGCCGGGCCCCGCACCCCGAGCGCACACACGCCGCCTCCCGCCCTCCAGAGGCCTCCGTGGGGGGCGGAGAAGGAGCTGATGGGCCGTGGGAGGAGGTGGCTGGGAGTGCAGACCCGCCTGTCGGCTCTGAGGCCGGAGACCACGGTGAAGGGCAGTGCCGGGGGCCGGGGCCAGGCCGAGAGGGCCAGCGGAGCAGGGGCGGGGGCAGGAGGGCTGCCATGCCGCCAGGCTCCTCCCCCCTGACCCTTGCCCCTCGGCCCTCTCCCCAGTGGGACCTCGTGTGCTCGCACAGGGCCCTGCGCCAGCTGGCTCAGTCGCTCTACATGGTGGGGGTGCTTCTTGGAGCCGTGGTGTTGGGGCACCTGGCGGACAGGTCAGTCCTGGGCGGGGCCAAGGGCGGGGCTGGACCGGGCCCCTGGGCCCCTGGGCCGGGCGGAGGGCCCCAGCCTAGGGGGAGGCTGGCATTCTCCCCACAGGACCCGGGGCCCAGCCCCTGTCCCAGCCCAGCGTGCGCCTTGGCCACGGGATCCTGCCCACGGGATCCTGCCCACAGGATCCTGCCCACGGGATCCTCCTCTGTCCCGCAGGCTGGGCCGCCGGAGGGTGCTGATCCTGAGCCACCTGCTGCTGGCCGCATCCGGCACCTGCGCAGCCTTCGCTCCCAGCTTCCCCGCCTACTGCGCCTTCCGGCTGCTCTCGGGCATGGCCGTGTCCGGCATCAGCCTCAGCAGCATGACCCTGAGTGAGGGGTGCTGGGGGACGGGGAGCCCCTGCCCCTCTCCTCTCCCCACTCCGCCCCCTCCCAGCCCACCTTCCTGAGCTCTGCCCACCCTGGCCTCCGGGACACATTATAGCTTCTGGGGTCCAGGGATGGGGCGGGGGGGGGGGCCTTCCACCAATCTGGCCCCTCAGACACGGGCTTGCGAACACAGGCCTCGCCCCGCGATGGAGCGGAGAGGACTGTACCCAGAGGAGGTTGCACCATCCAGAAGGCCACAGGCAGAGGGTCTGCACCCCGCTCCCCATAGCTCTTCCCCGCTTTATTATGTAAAATACCCCAACTTCCCAAGGCAGCCCCATGTAGGAGGAGCCTGAGGCAGGGCGGTGGGAGGGGGGTTGACCCGAGGTCACTCCTCAAGCCCAGAAGGCAATCGAAGGGTTTAGGGTTCTCTGAATTAACCAGGACTCAGCTAGGGCCGGGCAGGACCCCTGGAGAGCGCAGCCCCCGCGCCCCGTCTGTCGGCCCCCCCCCTCGCCTCCCGGACCTGCCCTCACTCCCACCCGCTCCCCAGGGCAGAGGGAAGCTGGGGTCTGGCCAGGCTGACGGGACCGGGGAGCGGCTGCTGCTGAGGGGGACGGAGTGGTCAGGGGCCCCTGAGGGAAAGGAGGCCCCACCAGGACTAGGGCGCAGGGCGGGGCCATTGCCCAGGAGAGCAGAGGAGAGGAGGGGACAATTCCCGGGGATCCCCACCCCCACCCCTACCTCCACTGGCCTTCCACCCCCCCTTATGGAACCGCCTCCCCGGATGCCTCCTCCCCCAGTGCTGGCCAGGTCCCGCCTGCCCAAGCCCCGCCCCTGCGGTCGGGAATGGCACCCTCTGCTCTCGCCCTCTTTCCAGACATGGAGTGGATGCCCATCCACACGCGGGCGCAAGTGTCCACGCTGGGGGGCTACGCCTACAGCCTGGGCCAGTTCGTCCTGGCCGGCCTGGCCTACGCCGTGCCCCCCTGGCGCCACCTGCAGCTGCTGGTCTCCGTGCCCTTCTTCGTCTTCTTCGTCTACGCCTGGTGCGTGGGCCCGGGGGACTGCCAGGGACGGATGACCCCCAGACTCAGGGAAGGTCAAAGGTCAAAGCCAGACAAAGCCTCAGCCTGACAGCAGGGAAGGGGCTGTGGGGGCAAGATCTGACCCAAGGCGTCCAGTTCCTGGCTTTCCCCAGCTCCCCACCCGACCCCCCGGCCCCACCCCCCACACCCCCACCCCGGGCACCAGCCTGCCCGTGCGGCTCCCTCTCCCCAGCACCCAAGAGCTGACTTCCTGCTGCACAGCGAGTCCTCGCCGAGCTGGGCGCCGCCTGTGGTCCCGGACAGTGGGACTAGAGAGCCCCTGGGTTCCCCGACTTCAGTAAACCCCTCCGCAGGCGCCTAAAGCTCACCTCCTCGCCCAGCCCAGCCGCCTGGAACCGGAGCCCAACCCCCCTCCCCCCCCTCCCTCCCCCTTCCTTTCCCCACCCCCACCCCAGGTTCTTCATCGAGTCAGCCCGCTGGTACACCTCCGCCGGGAGGCTGGACCTCACCCTGAAGGCCCTGCAGAGGGTGGCCCGGATCAACAGGAAGCCGGACGAGGGGGCCAAGCTTAACATGGAGGTGAGACCCCCAGCATTCCCCAGGACCCCCTCCCCAGGCACCACCCCACGCCTAGAACCCAGGTCTCAGGGCCCAGAGGGAGGGGCTGGGCGGGGCTGGGCTGGGAGGAGCCCGTGGGGAGCCAGGCCTGAGCCCTCCCCGCCCGGCAGGTGCTCCGGTCCAGCCTGCAGAAGGAGCTGAGCCTGGGCCAGGACAAGGCCTCGGCCCTGGAGCTGCTGCGGCAGCCCGCCCTGCGCCGCCTCTTCCTCTGCCTCTCGGTGCTCTGGTAGGGCGGCCCCGGACACCCACGGCCGCGGGGTGGGGGGGAGAGTCCGCGCGGCGGGGGGAGTCGGGCAAGTGGGAGGGAAGGTCCCCGCGCTGCTGCGAGGGCAGAGGCCAGTCTGGCTGGCAAACGCTGGAGGCTGTCCCGGCCCTGGCCAGCCCTCGGGCACCGGCCTCAGGGGCCCAGGCCGGCCTCCAAGCGCACATCGTGGCTGCGGCTGGCTTCAGCCGTGTCTGCCGTTCCCCCGGGGCCCTCCTCTCAGCTCCCCTCCCGGCCCCGTCACCCCGACACCCCACGTCCGTTCAGAAAGGCGCTGTCAAACGGAACAACCCCCCACCCTCCCCAATTCCTTCTTGGTCACAGTTTGGGGTTTGCTCTAGGTCGGCGGTCCCCCACCTTTCAGTGGTCCCAGACCCCCGGCTGGCTGCCCTGGGCTGGGGTTTTATCACTGTGCGGGCTTTGGACATCCTGAGAAGAAACAGCGTCCGTCCCAGCAGCATGGGCAGGTCCCAGAAGGCCACTGTCCCCCCCTCAGCCCGGGTTCAACATACAGGAGAGAGATAAAGACGACGCAAACCCTACAAAGCAGCCGGTGAAAATAATAATCCGGGGCGTGGCAGAACCGCCCCCATATTCAAACCGGAGACAACGCCTGAAGGAGGGTTAGCCAGGCGGGTCCCAGCTCCTGCGGCAGGTGCTCTGTGCCGCTCACCCTCCTGAGCCCCCCCCTCCTCCCCGCCAGGTTCGCCACGAGCTTCGCCTACTACGGGCTGGTCATGGACCTGCAGGCCTTCGGAGTGAGCATCTACCTCCTGCAGGTCATCTTCGGGGCCGTGGACCTGCCCGCCAAGCTCCTGGGCTTCCTCGCCATCCACCGCCTGGGCCGGCGGCCGGCGCAGGTAGCCTCCCTGCTTCTGGCGGGCGTCTGCATCCTGGCCAACGGGGTGATCCCCCAGGGTGAGCACGGCCCTTCGCCGCGGCCTCCTCCCCACGCGACTCCGCTCCTCCCCGGGGAGTGCGGCCCCGCGCCCCAGACCCCGCTGACGCCCTCCTCCCTCCAGACCAGGCCACTGTCCGGACCTCCCTGGCCGTGCTGGGGAAGGGCTGCCTGGCGTCCTCCTTCAACTGCATCTTCCTGTACACCGGGGAGCTGTACCCCACCATGATCCGGTGAGTGCCAGTCCAATGGGGGCGGGGCCTGGGGTAAAACATTTTCCCTCTCCTCCTCCTCCTCTCCTCCTCCTCTTCCCTCTCCTTCTCCTCCTTCTCTCCCCTCCTTCTCCTCCTTCTTCCCCCTTCTTTTCCTCCCCCCTCCTTCTTCTCCTCTTCCTTCCTCTTACTCTTTCTCTCCTGCTCCTTCTCCCCCTCCTCCTCCTCCTTCTCCTCCTCCTTTTCCTTCTCTTCCTCCCCCTCCTCCTCCTCCTTCTACACATCCTCCTCTTCCTCTCTTTCTTCCTCCTCCTCTTCTTCCTCCTTCTCTCCTTCCTCCTCCTCCTTCTTTTCCTCCTCCTCTTCTACTCTTCCTCTTCCTCCCCCTCCTTCTCTTTCTCCTCCTCCTCCTCCTCCTCCTCCTCCTTCTCCCACTCCTTTTCCTCCTCCTCCTCCTTCTCCCCCTCCTCCTTCTCCTTCTTCTCACCTTGAAAACAAACGCCAAATTGGTTTGCTGGTCAAATGGGGGACAGAGGACATTGATGCCGGGACACTGACCGGCCCCTCCCCCGCGGGCCCGCAGGCAGACGGGCCTGGGGATGGGCAGCACCGTGGCCCGCTTCGGCAGCATCGCCAGCCCGCTGGTGAGCATGACGGCCGAGCTCCTCCCCTCCGCGCCTTCCTTCATCTTCGGCGCCGTCCCCGTGGTCGCCAGCGCCGTGGCTGCCCTCCTGCCCGAGACCCTGGGCCACCCCCTGCCGGACACAGTGCACGACCTGGAGAAAAGGTGGGCTCCCACCCCGAGGAGCAGGCCTGCCCCGGGCCACGCGCAGGCCGGGGTGGCCCTGAGACTCGCCCCAGGCCGGGCTCCTCGCCCCTGTTCCCCGGGGGCTGCCTCGGGGTCTCCGGGCGGGAGGTGTCTGAGGCACAGCTAGTGGGAGCCCCCAGGAGCCGGGCCCGGCCTGCAGGCCGCACACCGAGGTCTCGCTCTCCTGCCCCCAGGAGGAGAGGCAAAGCGCGGCCACAGCAGCAGGAGCAGCAGAAGCAGATGGTCCCGCTGCAGGCCTCGGTGCAGAAGGAGGGCTCGGAGCACTGAGAAGGGGCCCACGGGAGCCGGCCTGCAGGTCCTGGCCCGCCCGAGGAGGGAGCAGGGCGGCGGCTCAGAGAGGCACCTCCCCGCGCCGCCCGGCCAGACTGCACCAAGTCCACATCATTAAAACGGTTCTCTGTGTGCAGCCTCTCCCACATCAATGTTTCTCTCTCTCTCTTCCCTCCTCCTCCCTCCCTTCCACTCTGTCTGAAAATCAATGAAGGGGGAAAAATAGGAAGAGCTAGCCATCTGTAAGCAGAAGAGGGCTCTCGCCAGAATCTGGCCGCGCTGGCGCCGGGACCGCAGGGCGCAGCCTCCAAACTGTGACAAACAGATTTCTGCGGGGACAAGCCGCCCCGCTGAGGCTCTGGCTGTGGCAGCCGAGCTGAGGAAGACACGGGCAGGTTGCACAGAAGAGAACGTACAGGCTTCTGGCTCTCAGGCCCCACTTCCTGGATCTTGGTTCCTTCCAGCCGCGACCCTTCCATCCTCAGCAGAAAGGTCACTGGCACCCCCTCATACGGCAGTAGCTCAGGCGGCCCAGGGCAGTCACTACCTTTCCCAAAGGTCCCCTCCCCACAGTGGGCTTTCTGCCTGGCTTTCTGCCTACTTCCCGGCCGGAATGGGGTCACACGAGGGGCGCGATGACACCCTCGGGGGCTGTATGAGGCTCCTGGAGCGGCCTCACAAACTCCCGCGGACGGCGCTTCCCCCCAGGAGTGTCTGGAGCTTTGGAGGTCCACAGTCCAGGTGCCGGGGGCTGGGTTTCCCCTGAGGCCTCTCCCCTCGTCTGGCAGGCGGCGCCTCTCCTTGTCCCCGCGGGGCCCTGCCCTTGGTGTGTCTAAACGCCCTCTGCTCCCCAAGACCCGACATGCTGAGTGGGACCCACCCTTATGGCTTCCCTTCAGGTTAACCAACCTCCTTCAAGCCCCTGTCTCCAAAGACAGTCACATGGGGGGTTATGGCTTCAATAAATGACGGGGAGGAAGGGGGGGGGACACAGAATTCAGTACGTAACAGGGGCCAAGGAGTCAGAACACCTGAGTTTCCCTGGATCTGTTGACGGTGTGACCCCAACACCGTCTCCGAGTCCGGTCAGCGGGGCCGCCCAGGAAGGAGAGAAACGGAATGGCTGGCGGAGGCCCCGTGGGGAGGACGGAGGCCCAGGCTCGGCCCACGCGGGGTGGCTGGCAGGGCAGGAGGGCTAACGGGCTTCTCCCTCCCGTGCGGCTCCTCCCGGCCTGTCCCCGGCTCCGTGCGGCTCCGAGTCCGGGAGAGAAGGGGACTGGGGCCGGCTGCATCTCACACCAGCCTCACCTCCCGTCCTCCTGGCCCGAGCCCTCTCCCGTCTTCTCCGAGGAGGGGGCGCCTGACCGTCAGGGGACTCCACATGCATGTCCCTCCCGCCCCCTCCTCCCCGGTCAGCCTGACCTGCCCTCAGAGCCCGGACAAACCATTAACCAGGGAGTCGGAGGCGCTGAATGTCTTACTCTCCGGTCATCGTTTAACTGCATTCCTTCCCGGGGATTTTGTAAACACGACCCTGCCTCAGGGCCCCAGACCCAGGGCCACCCCTCCCTCCCCCCGCCCCGCAGAAGGGGCAGCTAGTGGGAGCGGGAGGCCTGGCCTTCAATGACCTCCTGCAGCCATTGGGGGGCACCGGCCCCTTCCAGCAGGTCCCGGTGACTGGGCTGTTCCCTCCACTGTCCTGATGGCCTCCCATAGCACCCTGCAGCGCCTCACCGCTGTCCCCACCCGCCCCCACCCCCCGCTGCTGCACACCAGCCCGCCCACCAGCACCAACCTCAGCGGGACCGGAGCTGGAGGCCTGGCTGTCCCGGGACCGGCAGGGGCAGCCCGCGTCCTGCCTCGGCCTCACCTCCTGCCACCGGGCTGCCCTTTCCCATCGCACGGAGGCACAGAGCCCTGCTCAGGGCGCCTTCTCTGCACAGCCCTGGCCGGTGGGCAAGGGCCAGTGCACCCACTCCACTGCCCTGTGCATGAGGCGAGTGCAGTGTACACACCCGAGCCGGGTCCACACCTTCGTTCCACCATTGCGACCAGGTGGGGCTGCCTGGGCCTCCTGCCCCACCCCTCCCGTCCCCTGCCCCACCTCTCACCACCCCACACACACACTGGACTGCATGGCCCCGGGCTGAGCTGGGCTGACCGTGGGGAGAGCGGGAGCCCTCGCAGAGAGCTGCCTTCTGCCCTCTGCTCTCTGCCCTCTGCCCTCTGCCCTCTCGCCCGCCAAGACAGACACTGTCCAGGGAGTTGAGTGTGTCCTGTGATTGGGGAGAGGGGGGGAGAAAGGAGGCACACAGGCGGCTGGGGGCTGGGGGCACCCCTGAGCAGGGGATTCTGGGCTCAGAGACCCAGAGACAAAAACAGCCTCCTGACTTCGTCCAGAAATAGCCCAGCAGCTGGGCCAACAGATGGCGAGCAGCCAAGGGGGGAGCCAGGAAAGAGGGCAGGGTTCTGGGGTCTTTTCATCTCCAGTGACTGAAGCCCCCCCCAAACACACACACCCCCATTGGTGAGTCAGCCCACCTGCCGGTGGCTCGCCGGCTGAATCTGCACTCGCAGAGGCCGCGGCAGTCCTGTCCTGAGCGTCTGCTCCAGGCCCTGGCCTTCCGGCTGCGAGAGAGAGCTCTCCCTCGGCTCCCGGGAAAGGGGGTGTTCCTGCATGGACGTGGAGGTTTCAGCGGACCCTAGGACAGGACACCGGTGTGTCCAGGCCTCGCAGGCACTGGAACCAGGAGCTGGAGCACCAGAGGAAGCTTGGCACACGGACTCCTTTCCTGCCTCCTCTCACCCACTTTGTCCGCGTGCTGCCCTTGCAGAGGATCCCGGTCCCAGATCAGGGTCAGGGCCCCCAGCAGCCAGCACGTTTCTGTGGATCTTAACGGCTCAGGAAAGTCTCTGATTGGCTCACACAACACGGCGACGAGCTCCCCCCCCCCCCCCCCCCCGCAGCCGCTCCGCTGTCCAGGCTCCGCCAGCCCGCAGGCGAAGGGGCAGTGAGTGGCCCTCCGCGGAGAGCCCGGAGCACGGCGCTGGGCAGGCGCACCCCAAGCCTGCCTGACGCAGCATCTCCTCTGAACTGACCAGCCGTGCTCCCCCAGAGAACCCCAAGTCAGAGGCAGAAGGTGCCGAAACCGGTTTGGCTCCGTGGTAGAGCGTTGGTCTGTGGACTGAAAGGTCCCGGGTTCGATTCCGGTCAAGGGCATGTACCTTGGTTGTGGGCACATCCCCAGTAAGGGGGTGTGCAGGAGGCAGCTGGTCGATGTTTCTCTCTCATCGACGTTTCTAGCTCTCTATCTCTCTCCCTTCCTCTCTGTAAAAAATCAATAAAATTTTTTTTTTTTTTTTTTAAGGAGAAGCAGAAGGTGCTTAAGCGGGTTAGCCCCTCCGCCCTCTGAGGCAGGTTTCCAACGCGGCCCCGTCCATGGCTTCTTCATGCCTTCTTTACATGTATTATGCCTTCTTCACGCCTTCTTCATGCCTTCTTCACGCCTCTTCATGCCCAGTGTGGGGGCTTTCTTCATTCCTTTCCAGCCCCAGTTCTGAGACGTCTGCACCCACCCACCTTGACGGACTGTCACAAGTCCTTCCAAACCTGCTCTCCTGTTCCCCTTCTTAACCTGTGCACCTGCCTCCGGGGCCCACTGCACCTCAGGAGCCATCACTCTGGCTATGGCTCTCCTGTTCACACACAGGCCGCTGGACCCCGAAGCTCAGGCTTCTTGCCACCGGCAACGGTCGCCAACCAGTGGCCCGCGGGTCACCGGCGGTCCGTGGGGCCCAAAAGGTCGGCGACCGCTGGCCACAGCAAAGAACCTGGGTACGCAATCACCTTGTGTGTCCTTCTGACTACGACGCGGTGGGCCTCTCCTCATCGTTTGTTTGTTTGTTTGTTTGTTTGTTTGTTTTGGTGACTGACAAGGCCAGGTGCGTGGTTACTTCATTCCCAGTGCGAGGCTGGCTTCTGGCTTGTGAGGCCAATGGCACAGCCCACCGGTGAACGGGGCCCCGAAGCCAGGAGCGTAGTCCCGGCAAGGCACCCCCGGCCCCGGGGCTGTACCCCTGGGAAGACTGGTCCCGGCTCGCCCTGGGAAGGACAACGGCCCACGTCCCATCAGGACACTCAGCACGCCGAACGCAAAGCAAAAACAAGTCCACAAGAAGGCGAGGCCAAGAGGCTGGCGGCGGGTTATCAACAAACCCTGCCCGCGCGCCTCGCTTCCTCCTCAGGATTAAGATGTCCCGAGCTGCAGCTGGCAGCTCCCACCTGCACTGTATCCGCCAGGCCTCTTATCGGCAAGCGGCGGCAATCCACGCAAGCTCTCCTGAGCATAAAAAGACGGCACTGGCCAAAACTGGTTTGGCTCAGTGGATAGAGCATCAGCCTGCAGACTGAAAGGTCCTGGGTTCGGTACCAGTCAAGGGCCATGTACCTTGTTGCAGGCACATCCCCAGTCGGGGGTGTGCAGGAGGCAGCTGATCGATGTTTCTCTCTCATTTATGTTTCTCTCTATCCCTCTCCCTTCCTCTCTGTAAAAAAAATCAATAAAAAATATTTTAAGAAATAATAAATAAATAAATAAATAAATAAATAATAAAAGTACTGATATAAAGACTCCCTAACTCAAACCGCCAGACGCACAGACGTGGACATGGCACTGGGGACCGATGGTGGGCATCAGAGCCAGGGGTGTCCGGGACCCGAGCTGGGCCTTGTCCCCGCTTTCCTCTGCGTGCTGGGCACGCCTCCCACATGCATGGTCCTTCCCAAGATGGCCGCTGGCCATGCTGGGCTCACTCCTAGTGACCCTTCACCAGAGAGAAGGGTCTGCCTCTCAGCTCCAAATGTGAGAAATTCCAGGGAAGACTGATTGGCTGGCTTGAGTCATATGCCTACCTCTCGGTCCAATGGCTGCAGGTCAGGGAGGGCATGGGTTCCTGTGACTGCCCCAGCCTGAGTCCCTCCTCCTTCCTGTTCTGCA